ATTTGCATCCTTCTAGAAACGTGGCACCACCTCTTTTCTTCCCCAACGATGCCGATACGGAGTTGTATAGGGAGAATGCAATTACGCAGCTGTTCATGTTTGATAACAGTTTCTTTGGGCATTTGAATATTATATTAGTCAGGTAAAAGATATACTTTTTATATGGAACTTTGAGAATTTCAAATCCAAACTCTTTGCAGTTACGCCTTAAATGGCACCTTTTTGGGAATGGTTCCAGCTTCAGGAAAGATCCTACAACCTTGTGCACCACATGAAGCTTCCCACATTTTTGAGTTTGGCCGAGTGTATGTTTCAACTCTCCATGAATTAAGCATATACCATAAATCTGACAAATATTCAAGCCCTCCAAAACTGATTGAGATTTCATGTATAGTTATTTGAAAGCTTCTGAAGCTTAGCTTTATTTACTGCAACAATGGAAATTTTGAAAAATAGATTCGAAAAAATTTTCAAGTTGCTTTCTAATTGTTGAAAATTAACTTTAACACTGTCCCGTTTGATTGAGATTTTAAGAATAATGTTCAACAAGTAGCAAGCTGACCCAGCTTTTCAGCCCAACTTAAATAACATTTTCCAGGTACAATTTTGATTGCTACATGTCTATAGATAGAGTGTTCGACAAGGAAGCCACATTTTACGAAGCATATCTGAAGTTCTTTGATGAGAAGGGTACACCACAGGTATGTTCTATATCTCCATTTACGCAAGCGTGGCTCTAAACAGGGTTGCGTTTTACTTTCCATAAAAATCATTAGCATCATGCCGAAAATTGACAGAAACCCAAGTTTGTAGAAGCTTACCCTCAGTGCGTGAAAAACTATCCAAATCTCTGCGAGTTTAGGGTACTATATATCAATTCTGAACTATGATAAGGGCAAAGAGGTTCCTTTACAGCATTTTGGAATGAGCATAAAATATAACTTGTACTTTCTCGAAGACTCGTAAAATTTAGTAAATAATAAAAATTATTCCGAGTAAAGACCCCATTATTTGCAAAGAAATCACTCTCGCTTTGATAAACTTATGGAATACTTTCTAGAACACTTTTAAAAATTGTACTCCTTCTA